TTTTTTTTTCTTTTACATTTCTAAGCTGTTATTTCTGTTTTTACTTCATAACTTATGAAATTGAGTTTTGTTTAGACTTTGTAATATAACTTTACAGCAGATACCTGAGGATTTTATAAATTACACTACCAAAAAACACCGTGATTTGTTCTTATCGATATTGCTGTTTGCAGCTTGCACGACAGCAGATTCTACGCCATGCAATGGATTTGCACCATCAGTCGGTTTCTGCATAAATAACACTTGTATTATTTCTGCATCCTGTAATGAAGGTTTGCTTCTGATTAAGTTGATAATTTGCTAACTAGAAATGAAGTTAGCGTTTAAATTTAAGTTAGTTTTGCAAATTTAAGTAAAACATGTAAATAAAAAATTCAATCGATGATTACAGTTTAATCCAAAAAAATTTGTAGATCAGATACATATAGAAAAACCGTGTTTCATGGTTTATAATACCCAAAATCGTTTTTACAGTAGAATAAATTTTACAGTAAAAAATTTGACATTTATTTTCTTTTATTTATTCAAGTAATTAAAGTTTTTAAAAAAAAAAAAAAACTGCTGCAAGATGGTAGTTTTTAAGATATGAGGTGTGTCAGAAAAACACCCCAGAAAGTTGAATAAGCGAGGTAAAAAAATTTATTTAACTTTTTCGTAAAATTCAAAAAGATTGTTTTAATTAAATAACTTATATCTGATAAAACAGTGATTTTATAGAGTAGCGATCAAGTGATAAAATTTAACTCTGTGAAAGAAGGAGAAAAGCTATCAAAGAAAAAAGCTAAATTTTGAATTGTAATTAGTAAGAAATTTTAGAAAACCTTTATTCATTTATCATCTCATTGAGATTTCAAATATTTTAACACAGTCGGTTCAGCTTAAAAAACTTAAGTATGAAAAGACAAGTGCCAAGACTGTTACGCTTCTAAAAACAAGTTTTAAATGTCAAATTACCTTTCCAGTTCTTTTTATAATTTTTTTCTTTTAACTCCTCTCAGTGTTGATCCGCGTTGCCGACAAAAAACCTTTTTCTTTTTTTTTTTTTTT